CGATTCCTCTGATCCCAACTACCCCGAAAACTACGCTAGTGGAGGTGAAGGAGAAGCTCCAGGTGATTTGGAAAATGCCTCAGACGGTGAAAGCTCTGATGAAAAGGATAATGCCATCTTAGCCTGTCTGAGGCCTGAGGCTAGGATTCCTCAGACATCAGGCTTTGAGTCTTCATTTTCGGTTATTCGCCAACAGAAAAAACTCATTATACCTCTACTGAAACCATTTGGCTCTTTCCATACTGCTTCTGGTGCTTCCGATGAATTTACTCACACTCTTTTGACCAAGGCCTCTGCGGGAGCACTTGAATGCGAGGAAGCAGCTGAGTTTGCTGCAGCCAGGCAGCTATTCGAATTACGCCGCAACCAGCGTAGCCAGCAGGCTATTCTTCTGCAGGAACGCATGGCTCAGGTAGATGAAGACTTAAGGCGGCTGGCTAAACGAGCCCAGATGACCGAAGCCACTCTCAAAGCTGCCCTTTCACATGGCTCCTCGCCCAGCAGACCAACAAGTCATACCTCTCGTCAAAGCTTACCTAATCTTGTTACTTCAACTTCATCTGAAATCACATCTGCTCCTACTTTTGGAACTGGCGTCTGGGATTCGCCTGTATCCAGACCAGCATTAGGAGATAGAAGTGTCGTTCATACAAAGGCCAGATCCACTTCTTATTGCCCGCTTCCTTGCCTCCGCCTTATGAATTCACTTTCTGATCTTTCAAGAGCCGACCTCCCACAGCTAAGAAAGGCCAGAAATAATGCTGCTGATGTTACTACGAATTCGGTTACTCTTGTTCAGCATGATCAATATAAACAGGAATTATTCCGTAGCTTGGTCGTTTGCTTGGTCGAAAAAGACCGCCTCCTTGTCTTCGAGGCCGATCTAGCTCGACAGGTTCGCCTGCTAGAGCTTGAGCGTGAACAAGATGCTCTTGAAGCATTGTACCGGGCCAAGCGATTTCGATGGCTTTCTCCAGGGCAACAAGCAGGCACGCTTGACCGGCCTGGCTCGTTCGATTCTTTATTAATGGTGATGCTCGAAGATTGGGCAAGGAGAGACGCCGATTTCCTAATAGGATCAACAACTGGCAAGGAGTTATTTGATTGGACAGATAAGCAGCTTTTGGACAGGATGATGAAAGTCGTCGAAGAACGCAACTCTATTGTTCGACTTCAGGAAGAGGCAAACAACAGGTAGGTCAAATATTCTTAGATCATACTTTTGATCTCTAATGGTCCCCTTATTCTTTATTTCTTAAATTTCTATATACATTTTCATTTGCATGATGTTTTACCAAACTTTTGAGATTAGTGAGCCAAATACGCTCTCTATCATATGCCATGTTAGACACTTCATGATTATTTCGGTTAGGATTGCTTGAGAAATTCTGGACTCAAATAACCGGCTTTTTAAATGGCGACGGCTTGCGCAATACCAAATGCATGAAGTTCATGGCTAAATTTCATTACCCGCTATAATCCCAGTCTACCAAATCTTTGCTGAATATACGTATTACTAACCATTTATATAGAATATCTTGTTTCTCTGATTTGCTCAAACTCCTCACAATTACTTATCACCTAATATTTTGCTCGAATTTGCTCTACTTTGCCTGATAAGTCATGCATTCGATTCATGTCTTTGCATCTTTTGAAGGAAAAGCTCAAGGTGAATTTTCGTCTTTCTATACTAACTATAACCTCAGACTTTCATTCGTAATGAGCTCTTTTTCCTTATTCTTCATTTTTATGCTTACTTGTTTGGATCTTACGAAAAAATCCCCCACATGGCAATTATTCGCTCATATTTGATTTGCTAGGGCTATTTTGACTCTAGATCGGCTATGTTTAAGTATGAGGAAATTTTTTCAGGTAATCGAATATTTATTTTTTTGGAAATGTAGACTAATTTTCACCCATCTTAACATATCCTTAAATTAGAACCTGAGTTTCCTTAGATCGCTTAAGGTAATGTAGATACTGATACCTAAATTTCTCACTGATATATAGATGAATAGAGTCATCGAATTTCACTTAGCCTTGCCTTCTAAAATGCTCTATGATATAGATTGGACGGAATCTTATTAATACCTCAAACGAACTTCTAAATAGTGTATTGCGTGCCAGATGGCAACTTTGACACTTCGCAACAGAACCCAGAGTACAGATTGCTTGATTGACTTTCGAGGCAAACTCATATGCATAGTGAGATATGATGATAGAAACACAATCAGTCCATCAACTGCAATGCGCTCTTGAGCTTGGAGAAGAATGTTAGAATCTCTGCAAAGCTTTCCTTCACTTTACATCCTGACAGCCTGGTCCCCTTAACATTTTAAATCAGGCTATTCCTATAGCCGTCTTGCTATCTATTTCTCCCGCTTGCCTATCCTCGCTAGAACTGAAATGACAATATTTTGAAAGTGAAGCTTCTTTGTCATCAGCCTACTCGGTAAGTATGATTGGCTTGGAGCGTTTGGACGCTGTCACTCATATGGCGTGGTTTAGCCATCCAAGCCTTCTTCAGCTCAAATATTCTTAAGGCGATTTCAGTAGAACCCCTTGAAAGACTTGTTTAGCCTTTTCAGAGGGAAATATTTTTGACTTATTCGTCAAACTGGCATATAGTGGTTTTATAGACCACTATTTTTGAAGACAACTCCGAAAGAGTTTTTTAAGTAGGTTTTCGAGATTATCAGTGGAACTTGAATGAAAACTATATTTATCGTATTTCATTTAAGGTGATAAGAGACTGGTAGTTGAATTTTCAAGTAATGGTATGAATAAGCCTCACATTTTTAATGGATTTTTCATAGCCTTGCTTGCCGAAATGTATTTTCCTTCATGTATGATCAGGGGCACTCTTGGCAATATAGAGTAGAGGATAAGGTGTCGAGACTACGCTGCAACAACAGGGTTAAAGTCCCGTTGAGGGTGCTGATGAGGTTGAAGCTGTAGTCCACTGCAGCCTGAATGATAATACTCTTTGGCAAACAAGTCTATGTGGAATTCAATGGATATGTGTGACCTACTCTTGTCATATTCCTGATTATCAATATAAGTAAGAATATGATTTAGGGTAAATACAGTTCTTAGTCAACTCCTAAAAAGATAGTGGATCACTGATTTAAAGAAGAAATTCTGGCCTTGCATAATTTATTTACTTTCGGATATTATGCTAACCAGTTGGTAAAATTCGCCAGCTATTTAATTCAATTAATCAATTGTAAGTCAACAGATTCACAACAGCCGTGGCTTCATTTGTTCTGGGGCGGATAACACATTTTTATTCTGACAAAATTAATCTTCATTCTAAATTCTAGAGATTGTACCACATATCTGTCCATACCTTTTTGTCTATTTATTG